CGCAGGAGACAAAAATGACTGACCTTATGACCCAGTCGGTCTTCGAGTCGCTGCCTCAATCAACGGCTCGATCACTCACCAAAGTTACCAAACTACGTCAAAGCGAAGACCTTGGTCATCAACCGGATTCATGGACGGTCAGGACGGGCCAGTTGCCGACATGGGCGAGAAAGTGCAGTCCCTCAGCCAGTCCCAGATCGACATTATTATCGCCTTGGAAAGAATTGGCGCGTCCCTGTCGTTGGTCGGAGTCACTCTGATATTTATTACCTACTGGCAGTTCAAGCGCATTCGAAGTGTTCCAAATCTCTTCATCGTCTTCGCGTCGATTGCCAATGTTGGTGCCAGCATTGCCTGTGCCATGGGCTACGACGGCATGCGAGCTGGAGCAGAATCCGCTCTGTGTCAAGCACAAGCATTTTTGCTCGAAATGTTCGTCTTCTCCTTCATTTGGCCTTTTCTGTACAGGCAGTGCTGATGACTCGATGCAATAGGTTCATGCAGTCTGACCCGTGGTGGTCTTTCGCCATGGCTGTCAATGTCTACCTCGTCTTCTTCGCCGGTGCCAATCCTTCTTCCTTCCGACGCTACATTTGGGTCTACTGCGCTATTTGCTTTGGCTTCCCCATGATCCCAGCCGTTGTTTGTCTCCTAGTCCGACCTCGTGGCCCAGATGACCTTATCTACGGAGATGCCACCGTACGTAGATGATCTTTCTGCATTCTCGCCATGAAGTACGGTGACTAACGTTCGCAGATATGGTGCTGGATAAATCATGATTGGTCCAAACTTCGTATATTCACTTATTATATTCCCATCTGGACCTGCATTGTTGGGTCATGCGTTATTTACTTTGCCGTCGGCTACCACGTCTTCCATCACCGCAATCAACTCCACAACCTCACCTTCAGCAATACCGGAAGAGACTGCAAAGACACATCCTGTTCGGATGAGCGAGACTCAGCAGAAAAGGTACGTTGTCAAACCGCCAGGGCTACTTGTGAATTGGCGTGAAGTTGACGATTCTCAGAACCTCACAACCCGTACCGAGTTTTTCTATGGAACCGCTGTGACGGATATACAAATTACAACGATGGTACCCAGGCCTTGGACTCCCCAGGTGCCATCCCTAGCCATTACAAAGCAGTCGGACGGTCAACAGCCCCGACACCAACAGTCATGGCGTACGAGTGAAGAGGATGGACACTGTACACCAAGCCCTCGGTTCGAAACCACATGCACATCAGACCCCCCGCCACGAAAACCCCGTCGATCTGTCTTTCAACGAATTGGGGGCGTTGGTACAAAGTTCTCTGCCAGGTTGGATCGTCTAGATCCTGTCAAGCTTGCATACCTCAGAACCAGTTTCATCTTTGCCATCTCTGTTTTGGTGACATGGACACCAAGCTCTATCAACAGAGTAGTCAATCTTCTCAAGCCCGAAGTTGTCAGCTTTGGCCTGAACGTCGCCAGCGCCACAGTCCTCCCACTTCAAGGAGTATGGAATGCCGTCATCTTCTTCATGACTAGTTGGACGACGTTCAGAGACGAGTGGAAAGATAGGGGTTCTCGTCACCAGGTTCGACTTGGAAGTTGCGGTATCGAAAGTCGCCAAGGCGGCGTTAGGATCGAATTCCTTCGCAGCGATCACCAAGACAGGTTTCGAAACGGTCGCTATGGGCACACGAAAGCTATCGGCAGCGATCAAACGAGTGAACTCGAGTTGACAGTCCCTTCGGGAGTCGGTAACGTCCGAGCAATGAGAGGATCTTTTAGTATATGATTCGTCGATTGCACCTACCGGAATTTGATGGGCCACAGATGAAGATTGCCGTATGGGCGACACCGTATGATTGTGAGGTGGTTGGGAACGACTCTGGATGTCAATATGGGAAATGCTTTGGGAGGGGGTGGCGAACACTTGAGCGGGACTTCTTTGACCGAGGAGGATACCAACATTCATTCACATATCACGGAAGATTTTGGAGTCGTATATTAATCGGAAGCGTGGCGGTCGGTCACGCGCGCGATCCAAGTACTTGCAAACTGCCTGACCATGTCGGCGATACAATGTTAATCATGGCAAAATGCCATCCTGTTTCGAACAAGCCATGGATACCTTTGAACGAGATGTCTGGGAAGATTCGCAGACTAGAGCGTTAGCCAGTTCTAGCCTCTGTAGGCTCTGGTTCTGGATAGTCAAAGTTTCTAATGGCTCGACCTGTAGCTGCTCCTACTTGAATGATTAGCAGTTAGCTTCGTCTGTAACAATACGCATTCAAGTCGATCCCCCTTGGAGGCGGGCATTAACTTTCTCGCCAACTCTGCAAGACGGCAGGCGCCTTCCAGAAGGCTCATTCTTCGGATTGTGACAGGCCCACTTCTTCTCGGGCGGAGGTCAAGGCCGGGTGTTCGCGAGATAAGGTGCTTTGTTAGCCCGGAAAGCGAGTGGCTCCGGTGCCCCACCACCTGCTGCCGTCCGGGCCGGCGCCATACTCTAGATCCGGGTTCCAGCAAACGAGCATGCATGAACACTTTGTGGGAACACAGCGAAATTTGGCGCTCAGTTTTGGGACTTGAACGTTGAGAAGTTCTGCAAAGTAACAAGAGTTGAAAAAAGGCCATGGACTATGTCCATTTGAAAAAACATATATGCCTCGTCGTAAAAGTCGACAATGGGTAGTAAGTTTGGTAGGTATACACAAGAAAATATGTGAAAAAGCGCGTGCTATATACAGCCAAGGTGTTTTCTCCATAGAGATTCGGTCCCTCTTAACCTCCAATCATGCTCATTCGCGGCATCGGCCTGCCAGGCTAGAAAGAGCCTAATACACGGCGGGAACGAGCGAGTTGACGTAAATCTCGAGGTTCGCATACCCGCCAGCACCAATCTTCATACCATCCGAGGCATCATTGGGGTTCAGGCCGTTGGCAGTCTCGTAGTCGTCGGGGATTCCATCGCCATCGGTGTCCTTCTTGGCCGTGCCGGCCGCGATGTCGCCCGCGCCCCCCATGTCGGCCTCATCAGAGATGAGCTTGCCCGATTTTCCGTAGGAGAGTAGTTCCTTCACCAAAGCGGCGTCGACGCTGTCACGAGCAATGGAGGCGCCGACCTTGGCTGCGACGTGCGCGACGGCGTCGGCGGCGGAGAGGAGCTTCGCCGGGGCGGGGTAGTCAAAGGCAGTGGTCTGGATAGCCATGTTGGAGTAGCAGGTCGTCGAGACGCAGAGGGCGGCGCCGTTGAGCACGCCGTCCTTGTTGGAGTCGTAAAAGTTATCCTTGACATAGCCGCGGAAGTTGGCGTTGCCACGCGTGAAGGCCGTGACGGAGGTCGAGGGACCAGAGATGAAGTAATTCTGGATGATATTCGCGTAGCTCGCGCCCTCGGAGTCGCCCGCGATATAGCCGCCGCCACCGCCCCAGTTGTACACAGCATTGTTGATGAAGGAGTTTACGCCCTTTACCTTGGGGTTGCGCGTCTTGTTGTCGATGTAGAGGTTGCGGAAGAGGGAGACGCCGCCCTCGTTCGTCTGCATGAGCCCGCCGCAGGAGTGAGTTTCGAGCCCCTGGCCGATGATAGAGTCCGCAATGGTGACGTTGGAGACGTCGCCGTTGATGGAGAAGGTTTCGTCGCGGCCCCAGGAGACAGAGACGTGGTCGAAGATCATGTTTTTGCCGTCGGCGATAGTAATTGCGTCTTTGCCTGAGTCGCCGCCCTTGCCCATGCGGATGCGGATGTAGCGGACGATTCCCTCGTTGGAATTGGACCAGGAGAAGCCGTTGCCGTAGACTGTGATGCCCTGTATTGTTTTTTTTGGTCTTAGTTGCTCGTCGTCATGTTACGTTCAAGTTCGGATTCAGTGGTCACTTACACCGCCAGGAGCTGTCTGTCCTGCAATGTAAACATTCTTGGACACCACGATCCGGGCGTCAATCTTGATGACGCCGCCTACGTCGAATACGACGATTCGGTTGGGTTGAGAGACGGCATCACGGAGAGATCCCGTGCCGGAGTCACTGTAGCACAGAACAAAAGTCAGAGAGAGTCCTTATTTAGACACCTGGGGCTAAGTGGTTTGAGTACTTACTTGAGGTTGGTAACCTTGTACACCGTTCCAGTCCGACCACCAATCGCATTTCGGCCGAATCCTTCGGCGCCAGGGAAGGCTGAGGGAGCGGCGTCGGCACGTTCGACGACTTTAGCCGGAGTAACGGCAGTACCGGTCCAGTCGACAGCGGGGAGGGCGGCCGCGCCTTGGTAAAAGATGGCGGCCGCGGCCAACAATGTCGCGGAAGCCTTCATGGTGTGTAATGGATCGTTGGAAGGTGGGAAGGTCGAAGCGAGTGGTGGGGGGCTAAAGTGAGAAAAGGCGAAACGGAAGCGAATGTACCAGACAATCCCGAAACCAAACAAATGGGTTTGGGTAGAAATGAAGCTTGAAAAGAAGCTATAACAAGGGGGGAGCCGAAGGGATGGAATGGATGGAACAGCACGCGTAGCAGGATAGCGACGAGATCTCCAAGGCTTCAAGAGGAGAACCCAGAGCCAAAAGATGGGACGAAAAAAGGAGTATTGGGTTTAGTTTTGTAGGTTTCGTTTCTTGGTTACTTATGTAGCACCCTTGATGGACAGCTTCTTCGCGGTGATGATCCACCGGGATGGGTGGTGTGGTGGTTGCTCAGGGGTGGTGTCTTGCTTGTCACCACCCATCCCCATGATCTATTCCGCCTTGTCAGTTTACGGGAATTGGAAAGGGGCGTGTATGCACATGGGGGCGGGACGGAGGTCAGCGCCTGTAGGCTGTTGGTGGCATTGAGCCATACATCGGTCGTGGTAGCTGGTTCGGGGATGCTTGGCCGCACGGGAGGTGATGTAAAGAAGCATAGAACTCTTGCACCTGGTGTATTTTTTTCCGTTTCCATTGATCTAGTCCCGGTGATCACCTCCCAGTGTGAAGTCACTTACGGAGGATTCAGACAATTCAATCCATTGAGCACATCTAGCCTGCCTGATTCGGACTACAAGTAGATGTATCTAGAGGCGATTGGTGGGAAATGGGCAGAAAGTTTGAGCTCCCAAGGGGGACGGCGGACGGGAGGCGTCCTCCGAAACGGGCAGAAATGGTGGGGAATCCCTGGCGTTTGGGTGATATTGAAGGGGCAGAGGACGGAGCCACTCGGGGCCGGGGTGTGGTGGACTCACGGCGGACGGCGGAGGATTTTTGGTTTCTCAGGTTGATGATGGTTGCCGGAGAGTTGTTTTGCAGTTACATGGTGGACATTAGCTTTGTTTGTGAGATACGAGTGCGCAGAGTGCGAGGCTATTCTTACCTTACAAGGAGGCCATAGGTAAAGTCATACGGTGGAATGGGTTAAAGGGGGAAGCTCTTCGGCCTTGCGCATGTCCCATTCCCATACTACGTACGAATACCCGGTACACGCCTACGGTGGTAAATCTGCAAAGTGAGATGCTGGATTAAGGTTGGATTAGGATGCTACTCTGCATCATTCGGCCGATGACTTTCCCACCTGTCAGACGTCATTCTCGATAGTGTCATACATGATTTGTCCAGGTCTGTGATGCGTCAATCGTGACAGCCGATAGCCTACAAGAATGAGAGCTGATGACTCGAAGGCCCTTCTCTCGTGACTTGGCTTTCCTTTTTGACAGTTACGATCGGAATCACAGTCTGAAGGGGTAGGTGACCAAATTGATGTGAACACGACACACTTCACCATCATCTCATCGACGCGTTCTTGCGATGAGTAAGACCCGAAGCCATCACCTCAGGCGGCAAGCCTCTAATGTCAAGGTTTACGGTTCAGATTACTCCATGAGGGTTCATCACGCCTTGCCTGCCATCCGATCTCACTTCAGACGCTGTGGCCAGTGAATGTGGCTCATTCGAATTTGTGGCTGAGCGAGACTTCCTCATTCCGACAACCTTCGGAATCTCACTCAATCTGGTCAACCTTGACTCGCTTGGTGAGATGTGAGTGAGTGCGGCGATTGGCCTTCTCGCCGAAAAAGCTTTTGTCACCTTGGGCATTTGCTTGGCAAAATCGGACAGCTCGTGCCGGGGGAAGCTTGGGGACCGTCTTGGCCGAGGCGAGTGAAACGGCAGCATGGCAATTGGAGCGCTGAGAAGCGCTAAGAAATCCCCAAAGCAACAGCTGAGAGAATGCTCCGTACTTTGTACCTACGGAAACATAGGTAGGTAGTAGCTAGAGAATGGGAGCGGCGATGTCGGAGGCAGGGGAGACGTTGCGGTCAAAAGATGGCACTGCGGAAAAAAACCTTTTCTTCCCCAAATGCGCTGTGGTCACGAGCCGTTTGCTTGAGTCACGTGGCTGAGAGATGTCGAAGCTCTCGACCGACTCAGTTTCCCTTGCACATACGCACACGCGCGACAGGTTTGGTGTGGTTGGGGTACGGAGTAGTGAGACAGCATAAAGCGGGTGAGGAAGCTGGGGCACGTGTTCTTCAGACTGAGGTGTGTCGATCTCTCAGGCACAAGAAACAGGACTCATTGCTCTGCTGAGTACTCCGTAAAGTGTTGAGAATTGACTGTGTTGACCGAGGCTACTATTCGATACGCACGAATAAAGGGCTTGAATGAGAGATTGATGCCTCTGCTTGGAAACTACAGCTAGAGCTGTTATGCGGCTGGACGATGTTGTTCAAGGCAGAAGAACAGCGTCGGACGGATGCAGTGCGAGGTAGCTCTGGGCCTGCCTCTGGGCTTGCCTTCACTAGAGCATTGCAGAGTCGACGTTTGTGACGAGGGTTGCTCAGCGGCTGACGGTGTTTATTCATCGGAAATTCCTGAACTCATGAGCCAGGTCTTTTCCGGGCGGTTTCCATTGATTACTTTACTTTAAGACACCACCCCACACGACGGATCACCACCCCCTACGACGGATCACCCAATTCGGTACAGTTCAGTCAAAAACCACTAATTCTACCTACTTCATTTTATAATATAAGAAATATATAAAAAATATATTTAAATAGAAAATACATAGTTTTCTTACTAAAATAATTTCTATAAATTATAATCTATTATAATTACTAAGATATTATTAAGTTAAATATAATGTTTTTTACTATATAAAAATACGATTTCTAACTTTATAAAAAATAAATAAAGTTAAGTATTTCAAAATACTAAAATTTTTAAAATATTTTTCTAAGCTTAAATATACCATTTTTAGCGTTATACTAATTACATAAGCTTAGGAAATTCAAGTTTTTATAAATGCTACTTATTATAATATAACTTAATATTTATATATAATAATACTTATATTATTAATAAAAAACTATTTATATAAGTATAATATAAATCTATTAAAAATAATCTACTTTAAAATTTTATTTTTTTTAATAAATAAAAGAGTTATATAATATAGTATAATGTTAGTATTTATATGGAAATTACTAGTAAACACTAACATTTAAAGGCATATTTTAAATCTAACATTATTATATAATATAATATAAAAATAATTTTTTAAAATATTTTTCTATACTAATTATATTTTTTTATAGCTTGTGTATTTTTTGAAATATTTATTCTTTAATTATTTATATATATATAGAATAGCGGTTTTGGCTGAATGTGGCCGAATTGGGTGATCCGTCGTAGGGGGTGATCCGTCGTGTGGGGTGGTGTCTTACTTCAAGGTCGGGTAATGGGTAAGCGCAACCTGCCGGTGATAACGGCCTTTGCCGGTCGACCGTTCGCACCTCGCCTACCTCTCACCTCGGTACTGGACGTGACATGCATCGTAGGCCTCCAAAACAGCCTCTTATTGGAGTTATCTGCCAATGCGTACTTTTGTATCCAAGTTGATAAGTAAAGATATCAGAGAATCAGAGAACAGAATAATATGAACAACTGAATTATCATTACCGACAAGGTAGGAAGCCCCGAAAACGGAGATGCCGGGCCTGGAGCAATTCGGCAATGGTACTGGTCTTTCTCCGATGTGGCCGATGTACAGCCCCGCCAATCACAGAGTATCCCGCGGCGGGGTGTTTGGATGACTAAACCTAAAGTACCCTCCAGGTAGGCAGCCCCGCTAACCCCTCGATGCGAAGCACCTGCGTCCCGCCTGCACCACCAACTGCGACGAAGGCCGTAACGCCGCACTGCCGCAACGCTGTCCCACGCACCCACGCACTTCCCTCTCCCACTTCCAGTCTCTCACTTCATTCCCTCCCCCCGGGCCTTTGCGCTTGTTCAGAACCAAAACGAGATATTTTACCCCCCCAGAAGAAGGGCAGACTCAGTGTCATTCTTAACCTTAGTCACGCAATCCCCGTCCGGAACACAGAAACTCCAAAACACACCCCTCAGCAACCAGAAACGTCCTTTTTACCGTCATCCCAAGAAAAACCTCCAAGCTCACTGTTCAATTACTTTGGCCAACGTCAACTATTCAACAAAAGAAAAAAAGTACGCTTTTTATCGCATTTCATACTTGATCTACCATCACTGCATGACGTACTCGGCGCGAGGCTGACCAATTCCACCTCTTCTTTTTCTTCACAGGCAGATCCCGTCATTCTCCGTCCCCCGTCCCCTTCCGCCCGCTGCTGCCTTTGGCCCAGGCACCGACCGAACCGATAGCCACATTCCGAGACACCGAACCCCTCAAGGAACATCACGGAGCCCTCGCCGACCTTCCCTTAGCTCCTCCCCGCCCTATCCATAGTCGATACCCATTCTCTCCTCTCACAGGACCTCCTACCATCCAACCTCGTCATCCGACCGACGACCGACGACAGAGACCCAGCAACCCAAGGGAACAGAACAAAAAGTTGATGAGAGCTGGTTTCCGGCTTTTCTCGCCCCCAGCCTACTACCACCGTCCGCCGACCTCTCCTCTCCGGCGTCTCAGCACGCCGCGCAGCAACAACCCCTTCGCCGCGTCCATCACCGCCGCCGCCCGCCCGCGAACCCTCACAATGGTCGCCACCCCGGAGGAAATCGAGGCCATGGCGCCCCCCGGCTACTCCTTCCCGGAGCACCGCCTCCGCCTCCAGCAATCCGAACCCGACCGCGAGCCCCTCGTCCTCGTCGCTCCCGGCTCCTACAGCCCCATCACCTTCCTTCACCTGCGCATGGCCGTCATGGCCGCAGACTACGTCCGCTACAACACAAACTTTGAGCTCATCGGCTCCTACCTCTCCCCCGTCTCCGACGCCTACAAGAAGCGCGGCCTCGCACCCGCCTGCCACCGCCGCCGCATGTGCGAGATCGCCGCGGAGCAGACCTCACGCTTCCTCATGGTCGATCCCTGGGAGGCCGAGCAAACGGCCTACGTGCCCACCGCCCTCGTCCTCGACCACTTTGAGCACGAGATCAACGTCAAGCGCGGCGGCTGCAACGGTAAGCGCGTGCGTATTGCCGTGCTTGCTGGCGCCGACCTGATTAACACGATGAGTCAGCCTGGCGTCTGGTCACCTTCTGATTTGAGACATATCCTGGGTGACTTTGGTGCTTTCGTGCTCGAGAGGGCTGGTGTAAATATTGACGAGGCACTCGGTAATCTTAAGGAGTACGAGGACCAGATCTACTACATTCCGCAAGTCGTTCCCAACGATGTTTCGAGTACCAAGATTCGATTGTTGCTGAGGAGGAATATGAGCATTGACTACGTGAGTTTTCCAAAAAAGTTATTGCAAACGTCTTGAGGTACCCAACGGCTAACATATATCTAGCTCATCCCTGCTGAAGTCATCAAGTACATTGACGAGCACGGCCTCTACAACGAAGACGACACAGCAACAAACGAGAAGGGAAAGGAGAAAGAGGTACAATAAGAATGATTTTCGATTTCTTCTAAAATGCTGAACGAAAGGTATTTCGGACAAACGCCCCGTGGGAGTTTGTAGAAAAGAAAAAAGAGGAGAGAGCGAGACAGATGCGAGAAGCGAGGGACATGATCCCTGATCCAGATGAGACAGAAAGATCGCAGAGCAAAGAGGAGGAGAAGCAGGGGAACAACTGGCGTGGTTATCAGCGTTTGGGTTTTATGAGACGACGGCACAAAGTCTATCCATTTCATTAACTGTTATATTTTTTTTTCATGGGTTTAATTAGGTGCATAGGGCGGGCTTTGTTATGAAGAGCGAGATATCTATATCTTGAACTACAGGGACTTCTCCCATTGAACAACCAATGAGTCTGCATCCCCTCGTCGGGGCCGTTAAAGCCTATTTCGTTTTCAACCAGGTCGTTGACTATCGAAGTCTTGAATCATGATACTTAGTATCCGGCGGTCAGAATTCTGAGGAAGGGTGTTCACAGCAGGGCGGGCTTGCACAAGACCGCCGGAAGTAGACAACAGCGCCATGTTTCCAGGCATAAGCGACTGATCAGGAGCCTCGATAGGTGGCTGCCATGGTTCGATGGGTATGCCAGGCTTAGAATTGGTGTTCAACAGCCAAAGTGGCACTTCAAGGGTGCTATCTACAGTCTACCTGAACCAGACCACCCTCTCCACAACCGCTGACAAAGTCGCCAGGCCCTTGAGACGAGGCCCAATGTACGCATCCATATACATCGTCTTTCTTTTCTGGCTTCTACTATCATGTGATGGCCAGTTGTCTCGAAACTGCCTATTCTGCGATTCGGATCGCGCTCTCATCGTCGAGATACCTGACAATATCTGTGATGGGAGGCCAGTGGCTGAGACTCCCAAGATTATAAGGCTTCCGGTCAAAGTTTGCGTTTATCTTCAGGTTCCTCCCCCCAGGATCCATATGGACGGAAATCTGGAAGCGGCAATGCCGCGTAATGGGATTGTTGCCAGCACCTGTGGTGATGATGTCGAGAAGCATAAAGTCACCCCGTCTTAGCTCGAATTCAGAAGCAAAGTACCTAAGCGTGAGCTCATGGACACAGATATTCCCGATTATGGGCAGCTGACAGAGGGTGCAAGTGCCGTCCTCGGTCGTGAGGCGGCAGTCCATGCCGTCGTCGGAAGCGTAGCGAGGCTTGCAGACTACATGCGTTCTCGAACCGGGGCAATGACTTCAAGAAGTTTTAGGAGCATGTCTTACAGAGTCTTGTTGTTCCGGCAAAGATGGTCTGCGACGATGCTCTAGCCTTTTGGCGATGTGACTGCGTTTCTGGCAGACCAATGCTATCACTTTGCCGATATTCTTGAAGTTCTCGTCAATGTGGGGTGGGATGCCTTCTCCAGAGGCAAAACTCTCCAGGGATTCTCTCTGCCCTTCATTCTTGTTCTGGAAGATAGATTGCATGTGGTCGGCAACATATCTTGGGAATATTGATGCTGGCGGTTCGCCGGAGGAAAGCCTTGTTATGTTGATAGATCAGGAACTTGATCTGCAGGTGCCTTCCAGGTGGTGACTAAAGCCGCTATAACGGAGGTCATCCAGGAGGCTGGTGACTCTAGGGAAGTCGCGGCCATTGCTCCTTACGAGCACGCCCGGGTCGGAGATGTCAACGAGGACATTCTTCTTGCTGTTTCTGTCCTTGTAGCCCAGCGTCACACGGGCGGACTCGGTGCCACCGTCAGTGGCGAGTTTTTCAAGTAGCTATCTTAGCTTCAGATAATCCTAAATTGGGATGGAAGAGGATACCGATCCCAGCTTCAATCTGCGGAATATTGGACCAGTTCTGACAGGCACAGGATAGACGCCTGACTGAATAGGGAGACCGATCATGGCTATGATTTATCAGATCGACAACGAACAGATGATAGTCGACAAAGCCTGGGACCCTCCTGAGAAGGCAGACAAAGGCGTTGCCGCGTTGGTGATAGAGAAAGGGCGAATTTCGGCGTCGTCTATAGGCTACGTTAATAGAAGGAACTACTGCATCACAGGAAGAGAAATTGAAGGCCTCAGAAGACTTTCTCGGAAGAAACAAAGAGCCTCTCTTCGGCAAGAATCAAGGGTTTAGGTTTCAGTTTGTTTGTAAAGTTGCAAAGAACGTGATGGAAAGCTAGGAAGGTCAAAGAGAGGAGTGGTAGAAACCCTCTTCAGACGCTTTCTTTTAGATGGGGAGTCTCTGTTGAATTTGGTGCACGTCACCGAGGGAGCACTCGGAAGATGGCAAGACGAGGGCATTCGACGTCAAGGGCTTGCGACTATGTGTCCGTGACCGGTGAAGTCTTCGAAGAAAAGTGAAGAAGTGGAATATATCCACTCACATTAATTTCACTCTCATATTTAGTACAATACAACACAGTAAGAGATCTTAGTGAAGTAGCTAGGGTAATTCGAAGTAGTTGGATTGTGTCGGATTGGAAGTCCAATTCGACCGCGGCGTACGGCCGACTGCGCAGGGGCCAATTAGGGGCCCTATTTACGATTATCGTAGCCAGCCCAACCTACGGTTGGAACCTCCTTTTTACACCTACGCAGAAATTCATATAGTTCAATTGATCTCTTCGTCAACCCACGGTTCGAACCAACTACCCTGTAATAGGGATACCAACAAATTGAGTGTGTTGAATAAAACGTCCATTAGACGTATTAGACAAACCCCCAATTTACCCAGTGAGATTCTTGCGATACTTGTAGATTTTCACTATCGGGAAGCTTTAGAAGAGTGATTTAGATTCTCTTGTATATATAACTTATCCTAAGTAACTGCGATTATACCGAGACATTCATTCTCTTCGAACCAGGTTCACGTCGGATATGGGAAGTAGACTTTGAACAACTCGAAGCAACAACCCCATTCCCAAGTTACTTTAAACATCATGAAAATTGAATTGCATATGCATTTGAAGAATTGAAGTAACATTTGACTTTGAGCGTAGTCTGATGACCCATCTTGCCCTCTCTGTATCTTAGGAGCCAAACACCGGAGACCGATAACAGCTTTACGATGACTACACCATAATTTCAGGAAGCTCTGAGCAGAGGAACATTTGCTCGAAAATTTGACAGAACGGACATTAAGAGACGGGCTTAAAGCATTTTCTTCAAACTGTTAGCCTAAAAAATAGCGCTGAATAAGTATAAACCTATTGAAAATTGGTCACAGGGTTCAGGAGACGATCATGTTGTGGTCACTCAATTGGATTGAAAGAGCTTATGGATGGGCTGCTACGACTTTTAAGCCCAAGTGAATTAATTCCAGACACAACCCTTCCACGAGAGAGCCCGAGTTATTCAAAAAGTTTATACAAAACTGAAAACATTCAACTTTCCATAACCGAGTCTCTTCGCATTGGAGAATCTCTTCGCATAATGTTGGCAACTTTTGAGACCGAATGCGAAGATGATATCTATGTATTTTCAAAGCCAGAAACGACGCAACATCAGGATATTGGAAAATTGATTCGAAACATGATTCTAATCCAGTGATCATATCGTTCGTTAAAGCCACATTTTACACATACCGCGCCAGAACATAAACTCATAGGTAATCTTTTGGGTTCAGCCAAGGCATCTCACATGGCTTTCCAGGGTCCAGTATGAGGATGCTCGCTAGTTTTCGTTCTCGTCATCATCAACGTCCAAACGCTCGTAACTCCCAAACCAGTAAGCGTCAAAAACACACCAAACCCAACACGCAACATCTCCAACTCGGCCCCAAACCTAGAAACCACATGCAGACGCAAGACCGGGGGGGAAATATCGAGCCAATGATACTTCTACTACCCACTTTCTCAAGAAACTTAGGAGTTGAGTCCGCCGGGCAGGATTGACTTTCCACTGGACCCCTTCACACAGAATCCTCCATCCAGTGAATATCCCCAGGAGCCTGCCAAGCGGACAACACGCACATTTGCACATGCAAGACGCAGGCCCAAAGTGTAATACCCCAAAAGCGTCAGCATGACCCCTCTGACTACCTTACACTAATCATGCTCATCCTCTTGTTGGTTCCCAGCATCGAACCCTTGGGACCCCTTTCTCCAAACCATGAGGAGGGAGTGAAGTCGTCATAACATGATACCGCTACAAACATTGAAACTTTCCAACCATCCTTCGAAGGAATCCCACTCATTTCACCCTGCTCTGTTGGATAAGGGATAGCGTATAATGTTCTCCTTTCATTCTGACTGAACGTGGGCAGTCTTGATCTCATCTCAGCGTGGGAAAACTCAACCACGAAACTCACTACAGTCACTCAAACCATCAAGTCTGAAGTCCCGCGCGCTTATCCCACATTTTCATGACGCGTATCACCGTGGAAGCAAACTAAACCTAGATGCCGATACTAACACCAACCAGCCAACCAAGCGGAAAGGAAAACCTATCCGAAGCCATTCATCCCACCAAGGACAATACCTCCAGAAAATGCAGGCGCGATATACGTAGACAAGATAAAATCCACGTCTCTTGTTTGAAGGGGCTTCACTCGCGACGCCTTCGACGCCGTTGACGCTTCTCCAGAGGTAGGAAGATCGTTGCCTACAACAATCGTAAAGTTTCCCACTGCATACGGCGGGGATGGGGGGAGTCAACGTGGAAACCCCAACATCTAACTCTCATGGAACCACCTGGATGAAATCCTCCGAAGAGAGATTACATAGAAACAGTCATGGAGAAAAGCTGCTAAATTGCTTGTCTTCCATTTACCCACCTGGGCCACCACCAGCTTTGGGCTCAGACTGTCAGCTGAGTCAAGCTTTTAAAAACCCATTGGGCCACTACTACGTTTGAAGACCGTTCAACGTTGCACTTGCGACTCGATACCAGGTTTTCCCCATTTGAAAAACCGGAAACACATGTACGGGTTGGCTCGTTACGATTTGCAAAACTTACAATAAACTTCTGACTCTCCACAACATATCGATGTACGGCTGTTTGAATCTCGTATGCCGGAGCCGGGAATTGGAATTCTGGCTTGCAGATACTCTCCCGGTGAGTAGTACCTGGGAAAATCCACGTGGGGTCATGAGATTGCCATTGAAGAGATTTCCCAGTTTCTTTGTTCTCCATGGTTACGCGGGGCCGACGCGAATCTCACGCAAACGCCAGAATTTCAACGCGTTCCTTTCTGGGGATCCAGTTCTTTTTGGCCGAATAATTGGATCGTCATCTGCAGTCTGTACTCTGTTCCAACAGGAATTACTGAGGCCCGGTTCAGCAAAATCCCGGACAGCTTCCGAGCAAAGTAAATGTCTGCACGTGAGATACTTCGTACAGATAATACCTTACCGCGCCCGACCGCCGAGAAAGGATCCAAGGCGGCGAATGCTTTTGGGTAGGGAGGCGGCGAGCAAATACACGTTGTTGGTGGGGTGGCACAGAGGAGCTGGTCACGATCCAAGGTTGACGTTGCGACGTCCTCTGGCGGGCAGAAACGCTTAACTTACTTACTCACCTCGTGGCAACAGAAGAAAAAAGAGGCGAAAGCAGAAAAAGCCAAGTCGATGTGCACCAAGGCGGCGCCACGGCACCGGATGGCAAAAGGCAGGGTGACGACGGTAACACGAGAAACGGGGACTCGCGAAATCGCCGTTGCCTTCCTCCGCCGCCGCCGCTGGGTAGCAACTCTGTGACCAACTCGCAAACTGGGCTTTGGTCCCGACGGGCGGGGGAAAAGAACCAAGAAACAAGGGAGATTGCGCGTCTACGGTCATAGGAAGTCGCCGTCCGGTCTCATCTGACCCGTTCCGTGGCCCCGGCATTCATGCCGTCCGGGACGCGCTTGCATGTGGTTGTGTGGAATGTGATGTACGGTGAATCCAATCCCAACAAGTACGGCGGAGAAGAACCAGGAACCACGAGTGTCTAATCAGGACGACATTGTGCCCGAGAGTCGCTAGGGAGAAGGAGGGACAATAGATACAACCGTGCGATAAGGTGACCTGCGCGGGAGACGAAACATGGCACAAACGATAATGCAGGGAAGCCGCTGACACTGGTGGGCGGCAAGAGGAACGGCCATGATCCCACTATTATGTTGCCTGTGGTCCGAATTTCGTAGGATATCCCGGGTCTCTCCCCGGCTTGGGGGCGGAGCAGAACGGTTTATGCGGTGTTAGTCTGGTGTTCGAACATGCGAATGAAAGGCCTTTCTGTCGAATGATCGTGGACAAGTAGGACAGGAGACATCCTGTTCCTGATATGTCCTGCTGATGAGATGTGAGTAGGAATCATGATAGGGCATCGCAGTGCGAGCGACGTTGTAGTCTTGCAACCATATCCTCCCGGAACCTGACCCGTCCACGCAGACGTGGAAGAGTGCAGCACTGACAACCACCCCTTGGATTTTACTTTTGGATGACGATCTCCATACCGGGAATGCCATTGGCCGGAGACGATCGGCTGAGTCGGGCTTATTGTGGGATCGTCGCTTTGCTGTTCTGAGTGCCGGGCGTCGCTCTTCATGCTGGGCACCGCCGATCACTTGTTCCCATTGCCTCGTTCGGAATCTGAGGAGGGGGAATGGGGTAGACTGATTTGGCAAAAGGCTATAGAGGAAAAGGGAAAGGGTCCTTTCCAGGTGACAGGGGAGACGGAAACATTGTGAGAAACCGGTTGCGCTAACACTGTACGAGCCTAGAAGATGGTGCAATTTTTTGGGGACCTTGGGCTTTTGCAAAATGCCATGCTCGCATTCCTGCTTTTTAGAGCCCTCGCCAGGTGTCTTGCCGGAAGCTGATATGGGTACGTCCTTGTTGTTGACGTTTTCCCATTCGGGGAAGATGTTAGTTTCGGACGCCGAACACAAGAGAGATGTTGGTCTGTTGCCGGGGAATGCTAGGCGAAGTTGCAACACGGCAGGCTGTGCGTTGAGCAAAAAACCGGCTGCTTGGCCGCGTTTGTTGGAATAGTCAGGAGTGGACAGATGGAGACAACTCAAAGGTTGTGCGATGGAGAAGTGGATTTGGGGATTTCGCAAGTGGAACCTTTGTGTTCATCCTACCATTGGACATTGGCAGCCCGCCAACACACGATGCTATTGCTGCGAAATTCAGACCGCCTGACGATATGCACGGGACGCAGTGATGATCCGTCCGTTCACCATGCCCGGTGTACATGAACGTTTAGGACGTGAGTATCGCACAACAATGGAGAACGGGGGGCCGACGATGATGATGATCTGCTCCTCACCAGCGGTGGCGGCTTAGCGAATAGAGATCTGCTCTTAGCCTCTGCCAGCGGTGGACATCAACCGCAAGCCTGAGAGAAGCGTGTTTCTGGTGGTACAATTGTGCGAGTCCTATCCCAGACGGCCAGTACCAAGCAAAGGCCTTCACTTAGCCCCCGGCTGAAATGTTGAACCATGTGAGAGAAACGTCTGAATACATCCATTCGCACGCATGTTTGAGAGAGGATCGTCTGTTGCTCTGTTGCGGGGAATTGACGAGGGCTCCCATGCCTATATTGCCGTGCTTGCGAATGCCTCTGATACCCATAGCATATTTGCAAATACTGCGAGTCTATTGCTCTGCTTCCTCTGCTCAAGAACGTTGACGTGTAGTTGAGGTGGTGAAACGGCGCCGGTGGGCAGCATGAAAAGGAATTCGGGATCCACGGTAACACGCTTGAAGAGGTCAGAGACGTCGTGTACTGCGTAAGTGTTGGATGACGGCGACGGTTGGGCAGAAGGATTGACTCGTGATTTGCCGGAGCGGTGCAGGGAGACAGGCTGCCAGTTGCTGCATGGCGAGAGGCAAAATTGAGGGAACGAAGCAGACGATCTGAGAGGCTGATGAAATGAAAGACAAGTTTCGGCCGCTGATCCGATGACATCACTCGGCCGATGCCAGGGGCTCCGGGGTACCTTGTCCGAGGCCCCTCTCGGTGTGTCAGGTTTCCTGGTGGTGGTGGTGGTGGTGGAGGAGAGTTGAGAGTTCACAGCCTGTAAGATGCAACGGTTGTGGCGCCGGGATCATTCTTGGAGGCGCAGACGGGCAGAATGCCAGAATCCATGGAGAGCAGTCGTTCGGGTGTGTTCTCAGCCGCCAGCAACCGCGTCATAGCTAAGGCAAACTGCGTGAGGGGCACGAAGTACTCTGTACTCGCTGAGGGCAATCACCAATCTTTGTGTTTGAGGGCGAGAACAAGAGTAAATATCCGTACACACGAGGTTCGTCGATAGTTTGGGAACAAAAATCAAAACATCCCTGAGGCCGACCTATCGTACTGTAAGGTATCAGTAGACTCTAGAGAGCAGGGAGGAGGGCTAGCGTATCAGGGAGAAAGGTGGCCCTGGAAAGAAGCGTGGAAGTGTAGCGAGAGAGAAGAAAAAGCCATCCGAGATCTCAGCCTGTCTCTCCAGGGTCCCTGCATCGGAGACACACAAAGGATATGCTTCTTTCTCGGTTTCTCGCTCAGCTATTGGGTTTTCCATTGCGGTCAGCGCATGCAAGTACAGCAAGCAAACAGGCGAGCAAGCGGCTTGCTCTCTCGGTTACCTGGCCGGTGAGCCTTTCCTTACTAGTTCTGCCTTGTGCTGCCTTCTTTGTCCCTGCCTTACGCAGTGCTCCCCGTCTCTTGTTCCCAGTCGGACCCGTGGCGCTGGCCAAACTAATGTAGTGTGCAAGCGCAACAACTAGTATACATCCTGTACAACGTCGCGCTGAATATTACCTGGGTCGGGCGGTTGTTCTAATGTAGGAACGGGGCCGAGAGGGTCCTGGGTGGGTGGGGAGTCACTGGACGACTGAGTTTTGGGGGCCTGCCCTAGTGGGAGGGAAAGATCCTGTCATCTTTTGCGGACGGCGGTCGGTATCCCGAGATGTGACAGAGTGGTAGGTATCGTGTATCGTGGGTTTGACCGCTGGCGGCTGCTAATGTTGGTCAATGTCTTGAAATAAGCATCGTGGATGCCCAAAGCCGCGCAGTTTCGGCTTCCGGCTCTGCGAGGCGTGGTGACGTGAGGTTCGAACTGAGCAGAGTGTCGCTGGTGAAGAAAAGAAATTCTCTCTTCGCCATGTCACTGTCACGACATGTCGGTCCTAGGGCGAGTCTCTCATCGTCTTGGCCGCGTGAAACGAGGAACGGGAGGATCAGGATTGTGAACAAACGGTTGAGAGCGGGACGGTTGCTCCATCGCGAGAAGGAAAAAGGGACCGTAAACCCCCACCTCGATCGCGACCTGCCGCCCTCAAATGCCCCATACGACGCGTAGCGTGGTGTATCCATATATATTCCATATACTTTGTATGGATGCGGATGTTTAGCGTGGCTACTTTTGATGCTTTTGAGTCTTGCTGAGTGAGCAGTTGAGCAGCTACGCCTCTTCGACTAGGCGGGCAGGCAGGCGGTCGTATGGGGATTGGAATCCGCTCTTGTACTGGAGACGAATTCATGATAGTAACCGCCTGTCTCCTGGTAGTATCCGTAGGTAAAGACTCAAGAGTGGTAAGATGGGGATGGGTGGAGGGCGCCAATGCCGCCAAACCGGCTGCTGTCTGCCGGGAGTGGACGGCGGAGAGGCTCGCGCGCCAGTGAGAAGCCAGGCGTTGAGCCTGGCAGACAAATCTAAATGTATGCTCGGATTGTGGATGGATGGATACGTCTCCGTAGCCCAACTCTGAGCTCTCGAGTTCCTGTCGTGGATGGATGGTGGAGATCGGGGGTGTCAGTCTTGACCTTGGACGGTATGGCGTCACAAACGCTGATCAGTCAATTTGGGCTCTGGCAGGGGTTCAACGGCGGAAAGTCCCAAGTATCCCTACTTGTGTTGACAGGCAGAAATGCGTACTCTGTGCAGGTTCCGTACGTACTCTGTAACTATACTGCTGCTATCCCTACCTACTCTGTACCCATCTGCCTAAGGTAGGTATTCATGGGTACTTGGTCCCACAAGACGCGGGCGGCGGGTGAAGAGACACAGCGTAGGCGCAGGCGCAGACACAAAGGGTAGGTTTCGTTTGACTTCTACGTAGTAAGCAGCATTTGCTCTGCTCGCTTCCATGTAGTGTAGTGTGTTGTTGGGTTGGTTGGTTGGTTGGTTGGTTGGTTAATTAGAGATCCAGGGTCCTTGTGGGAGGTCGGGGAAGACAAATCCTGATACTTAAGCAATATCTCTGCTACCCATTTAGACAGGTGAGTACGAAGTAGCAAGTGTGAGTGTGGAAGTTCTGATAGGTATTTGCCAACGAATCGGTGAGGTATCTTGGCATGCAATTACTTTTGCTTCTCCATTGGAGATTTCTTTTGGATCGCTTAGCAGTGGCGGCGGTGGTGGTGGAGGTGGGTGGGTAACTACTTGCACGATGTCGAGGAGAAGAGAAGCAGGAGCAAGCAGTAATGTAGGGGATCGGCGGCATTAACGGTTGCACAGCAGTGCTACGACTCAAGGAGTCAAGAGGGAGTGATGGATGCAAGGGGCGGCATTTGTGAAATTGATGATTTCGGCCAGCACCAAAGACTGTGTAGGTGGGGGCTTTCCAGTCCACGATCGTGATAAAACTATATGGGAAAAGCTGTACGGATAGTCTCAAGCTTTAACAATCTCAGCGAGACGCATGTCAATACCTTATTGCTATGGATTGCTACATGGAGCGACGTCGGCAAGACTCCGGGCCACCTGCCTTAGTGCCTTGTCACACCCTACTAGTGTAAGAAGGTGGAATTGCAAATCGCAGGCAGGCGGCAGTCGGCAAGTACAGACCAGACTATGAGTACAAGCTACAGAATCGTCAAAAATCGTGAAAGAGGCGGCAGGACCGTAGGAGAGAAAGGCCCGGAGGGCGGGAGTACGATGAATCAGGTTGAAAGGAGAGGCCCGAGGATGAGGACGGGATGAGAGGAACGGAAGCTCGTCCGGTGTGGCACGGTGACACCCAGCAAATTGCAATTAGCGACGGGACGGGGCAGTGGATGTGGAAGTGGAAGTGGACGTGGAAGCCGGAGAGAAAGCAACGGAAGGGAGACCGTCTTTTGAGAGTACGTATCTACGTATCTAGCTACCTAGGTAGAGGATCATGTGCCTTTGGATACCTACTGTGTACGTACCGGGGTGCGGTGCTGACATGCCCGACCAACGTCACAATGTGTGGGGAAGGCCAGCATGACATGTGGGCAGAAAAGGAATGCCTCAGGTCAAGTGAACAAGTACTAAGATACGTAGAGAATAGCACCAATTTGCAAGCGCAGGGTCAGGGACACCGAATTAAAGGACCCGCCGGTGCGGTACGGGGATACTTTCCCTGGATCCAATGGAAAGACCCGAGGTACGTACATCAAGCCTTCGGTGGAAGCGGTAGCCTCCCTGTTAGGTAGGTTTTTTTTTTCCCACGACAGGTCTTTCCCTGCTTTCCCCATCTTTTGCGCGGTTCCTTGCCTCATCGTTGCCCCCCAAATGCTTCCTCCCACCTTCCATTCTAACCGGGCACTTGGACGCTTTTAGCAACAACCTACCCTAAGGTACCTGCTTATGTACATAGTTACCTACCTAGGTAAGGTACTTGGAAGTTGGGCGTTCCCCCCCAGGTTGAACTTCTGAAGGTGCCCTGACGGACAAGTCCAGTGACCAGAGCTTTTCGGTACGTACCGTCCTTCCCCTCTCTGGCATCCGTCCGTCTCATCAGTCTCATCCGTCTCAGGCGCAAACAATCACAAACACGCCGTCGCCCTCTGAGGTTGTCGTCAATCTCGAATTCCAACCAGGCCGTGCCACCCCGCTGCGCACCATTACACTATTCCTGCTCGGCGTGTTTCTGCTTCCATAGGTGCATGGCTGGTTCAAGGGCTCAAGCACTATCTATCTGTTTTCGACCTGAGTCTCTATTCAGCACATCAGACTACAAAGTCCAAGACCACGGTTGCCGCCATCTTTCCTGCTTGCATACCTTGGTAGAGAGCAGATTGCTACCGCAGCCGCAGCATCACGAACTGGATCATGGTCAAGATCTACCCTAGCCACTACTGCACTCAGTGGCGCCGGAGCAGTGTGGCAGCTTGCTCTCACCATCTCCGATTCGACCCTCCCGTAATTCCACTGGACTCGGTGGTCAATCAAACATCACACGGGAGCCGTCCATGCTGCCGCTCCCTCACCACACACCAGGAAACGTTAGTATGAACCCATACATGCCATAGCATTCCATTCCTACATGGCTACGCACATCCCACACCGTGCTTGGATACAGTAGCACAGCATCACGGCCCCCACCTGCATCTCCCAACTCTCAGCTTCCTAGCCACTACCTAGGTACCTAGCTGACTACATTGGCATAGTGGCATGCTCAAGTTCTTTGCAGCTTGCACCGCACCGACCAGGCGAACCAGCGAATACCCTAAAGAATACCATCCAAGACGCACGGCATGACAGAGACACCCAGCTACGCAACACCTCTCGAGTCTGGAAAAGCAAGCAAACCCAGTCCCAGTTGAGGCTCCCTCAGGAGAAAGAGTTGCAGAGGCAAAACAACCCACGACACACGCACGGCGACAAAACGGTTGCGATAACATCATCCTTCTCCACACCGCTTCAGCCTGACCGGGCCACTCTACACATAACAACCAGTTACAACGGACGACTGCCATTTCGACCTTTCCTGTCCCGCCCCTGTCGTTGTGTTGCGGTCCCTCTCGATGACCCCTGTCGTGTCCATCGTCACTCTCCACCACCCCCAGCAGCACTCCAGGCGCCCTCGCTCGCACACCCTCCCCGTTCTGCCTTTGCCGCAGACTCAATCCTCGACTCCTACGACATTGGGTGGGAGTCTGGCAAGGGCCCCAATCCGATCGACACCACAAAGCCTCCAAAGTCCAACCAAAAGGGCCAAAGAGGGCATCCCATTTGCAACTGGTCCTGAGTACCGCAGATCGCGACAACTTGGCCGCCTGTAAACGTCAACGCCTGAAGCAAACCCCACCCAAGCCAAGCCAGCTATTTGCGACCCTTTCACCTCTTTCTCTGCCATTCCCACAGATCGCATTCCATTGTATGTACAGCTACCACGGCCGTCGACGCAACCGCATGCTACCGAGTACATACATACATACATACATACCATACCTGCTGTCGCTCATCACCTCCGTGCTCTCGCTCGGTCTTCCCTACCGTCGCAATCCCGTATTACTTCCACGACATTCCCACTCTCAGTCACCTATTCTTTGGGTCTCTATTCTCTTTTCTCCCGCTTCCCAAATTCCGATTGCCATACGACCCCCACCTTAAGGAGCAGCAAAAGAGAAGTAATCGGCGCGAGAGACGATTTCTTCCAAGAACCCATACATATCCCTCCCCCAAAGACAAAGTGACAAGGAAGAGGGAAAATTGAGCGCAGAAAAAAAAAAAAAAAAAAAAAAGGCAGAGGCTGCCCAAAAACCCACCCACTACCCACGAGACCTCGTCTGCCCCCCATTCATAGTCATACACTACCCGTTGCGGCCCACCGCGCCTTTTTTTCTTTCTCTTCCCCTTTGCTCGACACTCGGCTTGGTCCTTTTCATCTGCTCTTCTTCCCTCCTCCCGCCGCCGGCTCTGTCCCTGCCTACGAGACCGGTAGGACCCTACTTGCTTCCGGAATACAACCACCAATACCCCTACATTCCATAATAATCCACGCCCCATATACACCACCACCCGCCGCCATCACCGCTACTAATACCACCTTTGCAACCACCTGACTCTTCCGCCGCCATCCTCGACTCCTCCGCCACTGTGAGCCTGCTCCAGAGAGCCTTGACCCTGCTTTACAAGGTGGCAAGACCCCGTTTCTCAACTCGAGCCTGGTGACGGAGTTGCATCCATTCAAAACCATATTTGCCTTTTGAGCCGCCCTCTTCGCTCTTTAGCAACCAACTTTTCCTGTCCCTTGGCAATCGTATCAATCCATACCGTCCCCTGAACGCCAGCAATTTCGCGCAGTACTCTCACCGACAATCACCACTTCACAGTACAACCTCAGCAGCCAACTCGACAACGTTGTCAACATGGACAACGAGCACCAAGCACAGTTCAGCGAACAATCGCATCTCCCTCCTCACATCGAGCGGTCCCAATCAAGCTCATCTTCTTCTTCTGTCGATCACGACCACGACGAGCACCACATCCACCAGCCAACTCCTATCCGACCTCGGTTGCCCAGCAGAAAGAGCAGCGGGCCGTTGGTGGTACCCCGGGACAGCTCGGCAGTGGGCCCAATAGATGCAGAGTTTGGACCCGACGACGTGAGGGCTATGAGCCCACGGAGGACCAGTGAAGACATCGAAGCACTAGGAAGGGAAGCGCGAGAAGAGCTCAAGAGGTAAACGAAACCCTCTGCCACTTCAAGACGCGCCAATCACTAATAGCACCCTTCTCTACAGACACGCAAAGGCTTTGCAAGACTCGCTCTTGACCATCTTCAACCGCATCGAGGCCGTCAGAGAAGAACATGACAAGCTCGATAACAACAACAAGTTCCTCCAAAAATACATTGGCGACCTCATGACCACGAGTAAAATCACTGCCGCGCCAACCAAGGGCAAGAAATAAGGCATCTACGCACACTTTCAGATTGAAGAGGTGGACACAGATTGCATCACATCACCCCCGTTGAATCGCTCCTTACCATCGTCGACTCGCACTCGGACCGCGACAGCTTGATCACCTATGAAGGGGGACGCGCATCCTGACGCCATTCAGGAACAATCACACCAAGGAAGTGCTCTTCGAGCATCCACTACACTGCCTAATCGGACACCGCCCGCGAAGGGCATGATACCCCCTTGTGGCCGAAATGGCCTATAGCGTTATACTGAACTCGTTTATGGCTTTACGGCACGGACACGGTATTTGGAGAGGAAAAAAAAAACTTGCATCGGCTCGCAACTTGTACACTAACGAACATCATCATCATTGGGGGTTTCGACAAACCGTCAAATGACATATTGGGCATAGGACAGCATCAGGCGTTTCGGGCTTTTGGTATAGGGCTACGGCCTTGGGGATTACGTTCGCATATTGTTTATATACCTCGCCATAGGCGGGGAGAGGTATCGACCTCGAATTGACCAAAGGAATTTCTTTCATTCATCCTCATCGACCTGGCTTCCGCAATCACGACAGGGCCATCTAGTGACAGCTTGCAATCTCGACCACTTTTTGTAAGATTGACGATACCCAATAGTTTTTCGTCACGAATGAGTCGCGGCCTGCGAAATCTGTGGTGGTTGACCTGCGCCACACGAAGATCCCTCACCAACTTCCGAACATAACGAAAGCACGCCGACGTCATTTGCCACCGATTACCGATGTCGCCCACAACACCCACCATCGATTCGTATTACGGGACAATTTGTATGACGGGAAAAAGTTGCACACGAGGAAAATATTCTGTCGAGTAAGGCTCGATTCCAGGCATTTCTATCGACAATTTGTCAAAAACGCTCTGGGACGCATTGAAGGGGGGTGGAAGGGTGTACGACATTTTACACGAGGCCATACAAGCGCGACGTTGTGCGATGGTCGTTACACGAAGCTCCCACCGAGCTTATGGATCGGCATAGAGCTAGTCGGAGACGGTTGTAGAGAAGGGGACCTGATAGCAGAGGATGAGCCTACGTCAGACGTCGGAGAGAGGGTGCTCGAAGAAGGCTGCCATTGGCGGTTCTAGCCGCCGCAAGACCGAATGAGCATCGAGATGAGGTAAAGGGGGTGTTCGTATGTGTGTTGGTGGGATGATGGCAGCTGACGATATGTGAGGAATGATCGGCCTTACGAGAGCGGCGATCGGCTCCGGGACGCGGGTTCGTGGAGGAGGCTCGCGGTGTCTGCTGCTTGGAAGTATTAGATTCTTGGAGTGGGGCGCAAGAACTGGACTTGGGAGGGCTTGTCAGCTCAACGAATTCTGAATGAGATTTGGGTTAGTTGGGACGATGAGCTGACGCCAAATGAGTGCACGGGAGTTGATAGGTGGTTACAGGCAAAATCAATATTAACAAAATGCAATTTGAGATAGGCTAGCACGCTGTTCATCGTCCATAAGCTGAGAAGAACCCAGTATACCTGCCTGTTCATGGCAAATTATTAACATCAATCTCCTGCCACTTAACACATATTCTATTGCTGCCCTTTCGACGATCAAAAGCGCTATGTAAGGTAGCTTGCGATCTTCATCCAGAGGGGCCTACGTAGAAATAGCTAGGAGCATTTACAGTATCTCGCTAAGGAGGCCCGCCTGCTAGATAGCACGAGGCTAGATTGATGTTGGCATTGTGCAAACGGGATGGAAAACTTTCTATCAAGGTATTTACTCGTTGAAAGATATTTGGCGTGGAGGAACGAAAGGCGTTTTAAGATCATTCTATGAACTACCTACTGGATGGTATCACTACATCCGAGTGCAGCCAATCTCCTCGTCCTGCTCTATTTTGAGATTGTTTATAGGTAGTAGATATAAGGGAAATACGATCAGATTAGTAGTTAATTTATTATTGCCCCTACAAAAGCCCGCATGTTCATATTGAAGCCATCTTAGCAGTTGACAGAGTGGCCAGCTTGCCGGCCATAGCCTGTAGGATACAAAGGCCATTGGTACTACAGTTCGTCTATCGACTTTTGGCTGGTTTTCGCTACTCTGAACTTGATGTCGGAACGACCAAGTTCGATGAAAGTGATTCCTCTTTTGTGACCAGCTATTCGTAGGAACTTGATATAGATCTGCTGGAACCATTTCCGTGCCGTTGGTCTCGAGAGGATTGATTCCCATCTTGCACGGCATGCTGAACGGAACGGAATCTGTAAACGAGAGCCATTCGTCACTCAGGTAGGAATTTCAATTCGAAGTTCCTGTAAGCATTTACCTGCACGAGTTTCATTTGTTGACTCGGATGAAATGTGATCACGGGCCTCATGCCTATTAAATCAGGAGCCGGGTCTGCGACTCTACAACGCATGACAGAATGCTCTGCAGAAATATGCTATATCTAGAGCTGGGCGAGGCAAGTCCTTGTAAAGTTAGTCAATAGGTATGCAGAACGATGCATTCTGCCGTATTTGACTGTAGTATTGTAACCTCGTAGGTAGTCGTCCATTCGCATGCAACTTGACGTATCGATATACATGTCTATGCTCATCATCCATAGTTTTGTCAATCCCTTCCTCTCACGGTCCCGAAATAAAAGTCAAAAAGCCGCAAATCAATCTGAAGTACAACGAGCTTCTTCTCTTGTATGGAGAGGCAATATATGCAAGATCTAGAAACGTTTGTAACCGTTATAAAGTCCCGAGCTTCTGGTCACTTGGAGTATTGGACTGCATGCAACCTTGAATTCTCTAGTCTGCTTGGCTGCTTGGCAAAAGTGGACTGCATAGCGTACTTGCCGCTTTAGGAAACAACCACTTTTTCATCTTGTGGCGGCTTCTGCTATCAAACAATGATGAGTATCTAGAGAAAATGAGTGAATACCATTCTCTATGCATCTTTGTAGATAATGGCAACAATAGCCGACGTTAAACTAGACGGGCCCGCTAGGTGTGTCTTGTGATTAGTCATGGGTTTTGAGTAGCCGCTTAGCCGACAACCCTAGATTTGACGACAACGCGTGTCATGAAGTCATTCACGCCTTTCTTTCCTTAGCCCTTTGCTTTAGAGTACAGTGCAACGAAACAATGAATCGTCCATCTCGTACAGACGAACCCTACGAAGGGGAGGGCTACAACCAGAGCCCGAATGATCTGTCCAATGACTTGACCACCAACCAAGACCTCAACGGCATCGTCAACGCCAGGGCCCTAGAGCCAGGGGAGGATGGCAAGGGCCTATCGCTGGGGGGGGAATCCGGGACGGGCGACGGGAATGTATCGCGGTCCTATGACGATGTGGATTGGGGTAAAGGCGGCTCCGGCCCCGCGGCTGCGGCCGCGACGACCAAGTCTGATGGACTTGGTCTACCCGAGGGAGAGGAGGTCCCCGCGACCCCTCTCCCTAACCTTCACTCACGTCAACTTCCCCCTGATGATGGAGGAGACACGCCCAAGATTCATCAGGCCTTGTATGGTCCGTTGAAGAAGGCCATTGTGAAGTTTGGCTCGTTTATCGGGCCCGGGTTCATGATTGCTGTTGCGTATAGTGAGATTCTTCCTGGCTCTCTCCTTCCGTGGATACCCGCGAAAAGTAGTGAACTTGACTAACAGCCCTCCTCACCTTTCACAGTCGACCCCGGAAATTATTCAACAGACGTCGCTGCAGGAGCAAGCTACCGTTTCAGGTTGCTCTTTGTCGTACTCTTGTCCAACCTCTTTGCCATCTTCCTCCAGAGCCTCTGTATCAAGCTTGGTACCGTCACGGGGCTCAACCTGGCTGAAGCATGTCGGGCCTTCTTGCCGCGATGGATGAACTACGTCCTCTACGTATTCGCAGAGGTTGCCATCATCGCAACAGATATTGCCGAGGTGAGTGTGGTCGATAATTGCTATGTCTCCGTCTCCAAGGCCTCAGTTTACTAAAGTGATGCGGCTGGGCAGGTGATTGGCTTCGCGATTGGTCTGAACCTACTTGTGCCGGCCATACCTCTCGTTGCAGGATGCGCAATCTCCATCTTGGACGTCATGATTATTCTCATCTTTTACCGGCCCCACGGATCTAT